CGGGGAGGATGTGTCGGGAAGAGCGAGGAAGTGTTTGATCGTTTACTGTCCACGGAGGCATTTGTTTTTCATTTTGCAAACTATTCTCTTTAAGTAATTGTTCCTGCTAAGAGTGTATACCTTTCACTGGGCTTCACCGCGCTATAAATAATCTCGATGAAGATGCAAGGATATGACTTTCACAAGATTGGACAATTGATTAAATCTGTGACCTGCAATTGCGAATAATCTTGGAAGGCTATTTAAACAGATGAAGGCCTAAATTGTCTTGCTTGTATCTGAATTAATTTCTCATTCATCATCATTATGGAGTGATTGGTTCTATTCAGGCTTTTCAGCCTGCTGGAACGAAACTGGATTTAAATGAGACTGTAACACAATTTAAATGCTCCCCAGATTTAACGAGGCCAATCGAGCAGCTGCAATAAACACAAATATTTTTCTAAACAGCCTTGTTTTAAATAATTACTTAATACTTTCATGTGATGTTCTTAAGTGGCAATTTCTGTCTCTGAAGTCCCAGGCACTCCTTTGCAGAGAGGGCAGCAAGGAAAATCACTTTATGTGTTTGCTCTGCGTGTATATGTACGTGAAATATACCGATTGAAATTCTTTAAAGTGAGGTTTGTAAATATTAGTGTAAACCTGCACTACATTCTTGGTCGTAGATACACTCAGTGTAAGTGATAAAAAAAATTTTAATTTTTTTTTTTTAAGTGGGGTGGGAGCAAAGGGTGTATTGGAGGCCAGTGGTTGTGATCTATTTGTTTTCTTGGTAGAAGATCTTGAACTAACTATTTATTCTTCCTCCTACCTAAGAGAGAGAGAGAAGAAAAACTTCCTACAACGGGGACCAGTTTCGGCGGGGACCTACCCTAACCTACCATAATCGCATCCCTGCCGCAGTACCAGCTCTCCAGAGTCAGGACAGGACACTGCCGCCCTTCAAAATGAGAAGTGAGAAGATCTGAATGAAGCAGTACGGGGCTCCGGGTAGAAGGATGAAGCAAAAGGCGTGTGGGGCTGGTTTCTCTCCCCCTTTACATCCACCCAGGAACCTGATGCGCATAAATGAAGCCATTTGTGTTAAAGAGACTTCAGCTCATCCTGACGTGGGCTTTACCCCAGGGTGACACTATTGTAAGAGGCAGGACAGCGAGCCTTGGGGTGACATATGGTGGAAAGTGCTTTCAGGGGCTAAACTCGGTACTAAAATAAAGTATCCAGGCGAGCAGGAGAATAATAGAAAACAAAAGATCTTTCAGATAGACAAGCCAAAAAGCCAAAGGAGCCGCATGCTTTTCTGCAGGTGCTGGCAAACGACCGAACAACCCAGCAGAAAACGTGAAATATGGAGAGACGGTTTGCCAATTATTTAGGCGCTGAGGTAAAGCATACTGCTGGAAAAGCAGATCCGATCCAGTTTAATCATACAACCTTAATAAAAACATATAGTCTGAGACGGGAAAGTAAGCGTCAGTCTTGTTGCTATTTCACTTAATGGTACAGGAGGTGACAGATAAAAGACAACAAAGATGGGCTGAGTGATTTGATAGTAAAGGACCAATTTAATGCGCGAGTTACAGCGCTGCTCCCCAGGATCGTTTAGGCTTAACCCGTTCTCTAGAGCTCATCTTCTTCCTCTTCTGGTCCTTTTTTTATTAGTAGTATTATTATTCAGTTGTTTAAAATGAGCATTATCCCAAACATATGCAGTGCAATCAGCTCGGTCACACTTACAAGAACACGCTTTAATAAGGCAATCAATCAAACGCTAACAAGGCGGGGGGTGGGGGGGGGCGGTTTGGAGGGACCGCCTTTAGGAGCTAAATTTGGCTAGCCAGGGAGCGAACCCGATGTAGCACATGGGGCACCCCGAAGATAACTCCACTCCCGCTAGTGACAAGAGGCCAGGTGCCCATCGCCGGCTCCCCCGGGCCCTCACCCCGGTTCCTCGAAGGGTCTCATCCCCGACCAGGGCGAGGCCGTGGAAACCTGCCTGCTTGGTGGCAGTGGCTCGGGGCCAAAGGCAGCACCTGCTGCCGGCTGGGTGCCCTGTGCGTGCCCTCGCCGCCGTCAATGCCCCACGCGTGCCCGGAGCCAACACCCCACGTGGGGCCGGGGACACCACCACCGGAGGCGAAGGTGTTAACGGCATCGGCCCCACGCAGCAAATGGAAAATTTCATTATGAAGTAATGAGTAATTCCTCCCACTGAGATGTATTGTTATATCTTCCACTTCAATTTAGGAGCACAGCGGCTCAATTACCTAGAAAATACAGTCAATTAAAGGCTGCTGATTGGACACGAGGACGGATCATCGATCTTGTACTTTCCAATATCGCTCCAGACACCTCATTTTCCCTCCCCTATTAACTGAAAATACTCTTGGCATTACCGCGACCCGCAGCCTATTTACCTGTCGCAGGCAATCTCTGCCCTGTGACCGAGCCGCGGAGAAAATCACAGGCACCCTTTGCCGCGCCATCCTCCGAGAGTGGGAGATCGGGAGGGCGGCTCCGGAGCCGCGGGGACAGCGGGGACCGCGCCGGCGGCTGGCGCTCCCTGTTCCTGCCTCCCGCTCCCCGTTTGCTAAGGGGGGATGTCTCAGTCACGGGTGGCAGTGGTAATCAGAGGCTTAAATGTTCTTTTTCTCTCACACGCATCTGGACACATAAAATATTTGTGCACCAGCCGATGGCGTTTTCTGAACTGGTCGTTTTGCAAGAGCAAACTGCTGCCGCGATCGCCGCAGCAGCCTCGGCCGCATCTTGGCCTGCGCTCTTCGGCCCAGCAAGTGTACCTGGCCGAGGAGTGTGGAGTCGTGGGCTATGTAAGAGACCCTGGTTTTGGTGGATAGCGCTCATCTGCCGTCCTACCCCTCCCCCGACCTCTTCAGCGCTCCCTTCTTCCCGGGGTTGCTGGGGGAGTGATATCAAGCACTGGCTCCACAGCTCCTATTTTATCGAACTGGTTCTTCTGTCTGATTAAAGACGAAGTAAAAGAGGGGGAAAGACTTGCAAAGCTTTGCAAAGGGATGTTGTTCGGCTCTGCCCTTGGACGCTGCTTATAAATGTTATTTTGGGGGGGGGGGGGGGGGGCAGGGGGGAAGAATCTATTTGTGAGTGTCCAAAAGGGCCATTGCTTTCCATGTCCATGAGGAAATCTCATTTTCAAAGGGTGGAATAATCTGGCGTTAATAATTTAAAGACTGTGACTTTGGATAGGGTTTTTAAAAGCTGTAATAAACAATATTTTTTATTGGAAAAAAATATGTCCTGGCACGCCCATGTCTCTTCCCTGCTCTCCTTCCGCTATAGGGGAACGCTGCTATGCATTCTCTCCTAAAGACAAAAAGTCTCCGGTGTGGCAATAAACCAGAGGCTTCTGAGCAATTTAGTACAAAGTAGATACAGAGGTGTCAACAAGTCTTTGTTCTGTCCAGCATTTATTTTCCTGCTTGTTGAACTGTAACTATTAGAAACTGCACGGTGAAATTCGTTTTAAGCAACATTTTAACCTTTTTTTCTTCCTTAACAAGCACGACTACAATATGGGCGAGAGGTTGTTAAAACGTGTCGTTATTATGGGTTTTGGTGTTGCTATTTTTGTTGCTATTAAGTTTTATTCCGACATGGTAACAAATTATAGCAGTGTATTCTTTGGGCTATTTTAAAACAGAATTAAATAAATAAGGTCGGTTTTGAAAGAAACCACTACCCAGCTCCGTGCCCGTGTTTTTTTAAATTTAGGGTTACAGAAATCCAAGCAAAAGCAATTATGCTACCTTCTTCCGAATTACTTTCTGGATAGGAGACGGGTGGGTGACTTTGTGAAAGAAATACTCTTTAAGAAGGAAGAGTGATCAGTGTGAAGGACACACACAAATGCAAAGATCAGGGATGGAGAAAGAAACTGACAAATGTAATAATTACTTTAAAAATAAAATTTAAAAATTTATAAATAGAAGACACAGCAAGTAAAAGGCAATGAGAGAACTGGAGGCTGAAGCACAAAGGAAGGGAAATAGCCTTTGCTCCAATTTACAGACTGGTGCTTGTCTGAAGGAGTTGTGCTCCCTGTCACCTCTAATCTCTTCCCTTGGCGGCTTGTTAGCGTTTGGCACGGGGTCTTTGCTCGCAGAGCATTGTACATTCGATATTCAAAAACCCTCTTTACATATACATCACTTGCTAATTTCGTCCGTGTGTGCACATTTCAGCGACTGGTAATAGGACATTGTTATTTAAAGGACAAATAGCTCTGACCCATAAAGAGGCAGGAGCTCGTATTTTTCCCCTGCCAGTTCCAGTCTGTCTCTTAAAAATAAAAGTTGGAATGAAAGAGGAAATGAAATGCTGGATTTCTGCTCACAACGAAGGACGAGACAAGGGAGGGTAAAGAATGCAATTAAACTACGAAAGTAATGTACAGAATGACAGGTTTTCTTTATGGGAAATCATTGTTATTTTCCATAGAGACAACTGCATAAGACTGCCGAGTTGCAAACCGGAAACCTTTTGGGGTTTATTTCTGTTGTTTGCATGTTGTTTTTATTTTCTGAACATTGAGGGATTACATCTTTGCTTTCTTCATGCGCACGAGCCATTTCGTTATAAAGATAGTGTTTCAAGTATTTCAGATTTTCCTTCTCCGTCTCATAGGTTTGTGCATAAGGTTTGTTGTGATCCGCAGAACCCCCAGCCCTTGGGAAGAAGTCTATCCACGGAAAATAAAGTCCCAGCGCACATTTCTATAGGTGGCTGGCTGGACCATATTTCATTCGAGTTGATTTTCTTCCTCCTTCGTGCCTAAATTCCTTCTCAGAGATAAATCACTAGTAATTTCTTTCCTTCTTTCTTTTATCTCCCCCCCCCCCCCCCC